ATCTCTCGCTAACCAAATGAAGCCATATGAAATTCGTGACTACTTTTATACTGGCAGGTGGGCTGAACAAAATGTGAATCCTGCATTATTCTCTCAAGAACTGATCTCTAATGCTTCACACTTAGTTGGAGATGAGGAGGTATCACTACCTTATATGTACCACTGATATGTTTTTTCTGTCCAATAGATTGGTTCAAGCAATTTATCATAGTAAAATCCATTTCAGTTCAAGTCTTCCAACTGTTTGGAGCAATAATTTAGCTTCTATGAGCTTCTGCACATATTGTTAGCTAATACACTTGACGCATGTTACGTAATTTGACAGGTTAACTATGATCCTCGCATTCTTATACGGAAAGCACATGCTGCTACCTCTTCCACAGGTTCAGCTACTGTGTAGGTGTTATAACATGCCCTTCGCTTAGTTTTGAAGGTTGCACACGGACACGCACATGCATTCACTGCCGTTGAGAAATTGAAGTTTGTCTTGTTATAACTACCGATTGTATATTCATATGGTCTCGTAGAATTGTTGCCATGCTGGAGAGGAATGGAATTTTGAAGATTGCCAATGTTGGGGATTGTGGACTACGGGTTGTTCGCAAAGGTAAAACCAAAGGGCTTATGTTTGTCCAACTTTTATCCTTTATTACCAGCATATCCTTTATTACTTTTCCTTATTAGTTAAGTAATGGCATGCCTTGGTTAACTATTGAGCTTGTAGGTCAAATAATATTTTCCTCGACTCCACAAGAACATTATTTTGACTGTCCCTACCAGCTGAGCTCAGAGGTGGTTGGTCAAACATACCTAGATGCTAAGGTATGAGGATTCATATTTCTAGCAGCCTTCAACTTATGAATTTTTGTTTTATTGCCACAATTATAATAGATGGTCTCCATTTCATTGGGTACCTGGTATGCAAAAGGTGGTGGTATTATATCGAATGGTACTTTTATAGTGATACATATAAGGCAAGTAAATCGTTAGGTCTGTTGTAAATATCCCCTTTTTTCACTCGTGTCTCTATCGTGTAATAGGGTATGTTACCAATAATTGTGCTCGTAAAATCTTATTTGAAATGAAACCATGTAATGCCCTTGCTAGCTAGTGTGTTTAATGAATTTCCATACTTGGAACTTTTTATTTTGGTAAGCCTGCTCAATCTTCTGCAGGTGCGTGTGTATGTGTCAATTGCTGGCCACATTTGTCCCCAGTACTCAGACTCCACTCTTCATAGACACTTGGCATATATGTATCTTAGCAAATATACGGAGACTTGGTGATTAGTGGCAAGTAGTGTCCCTTGGACCAAATTATGTCTTTCAAGAACATTCAGAGTGTTCGTTGGACGTGCATAAACAAATTAAGCCATTTATGCTACGTGTAAGTCTACTAAGTAAGAGTGTCTGGTCTTGGTTGGGACTAATGCTATGCTTCCCAAATATTTGTTCCATATCCTCGATACAAAATGAGGTATCACAATCATTACCGTTAAGTATTTATGGTACCCACTTATCTTCTGGTGGTCAATATGCCACCTCATTTGGTAAGCCCATCGTTGCACATATTTCAGTTTCTTGATTGAAATGCAAAATCCATAAAATTACATATCTACGGTTCATATATATGGCTGCTAGCTAATCTATCCGCACACAGGTTAGCAGCGTGGAATTGATGGAAGGAGACACCATTATAATGGGCTCAGATGGGCTTTTCGATAACGTTTTCGACCATGAAGTTGTTTCAACAGTGGCCAGATACAATAATGTTTCTAATGCTGGTACACATTCCTAGCCAAGTATCTTAGCGTTTGAAATGGGTAGACGTCTGGCTTATTTTTCTAACTAAGATTTGGTTTCAATGGTAGCAAAGGCATTAGCTAATTTGGCTCATAACCATTCAATTGATTCCAACTTTGATTCCCCCTATTCACTGGAGGCCAGAGCCCAGGTAAAAATATTTTTTTGACGACTAACTCACTCTGTATATGTATCTATTTATCGGCTGTGAAACTAACACGCCCAGCATCTTGATGAACAGGGTTATGACGTTCCATGGTGGAAGAAAATTCTAGGCAAGAAGTTAACAGGCATGACTAATGGAGTTTACTATAAATGCTTTTTCCCTTTTACTTTTTTGTTCATACCAGTGCTTAACTCGAGGGTTTCGTTTTTTCTCCCCTTTCCTTGGAACAGGTGGAAAGCTAGACGATATTACAGTGATTGTTGGGCAGGTGATAAGTTCATAAAATATTTATACCTTTTGGATTATGGCCATTGTGACACAGTTGAGAAATCTTTTGCTGGGCAGCTGCCAAAATTTTTTTTCTTTAAAATTCAGTGTACTATAAACAATGTGTTAAGAGGCAATGTCTTCAGGTACCAGACTCAATAGCAATGTGTTCCTGAAGGGCCACTTTTGTGCTTTGCTGAGCGACCCAATGTACTTTTCATCTGATGGACAAAATGCTGCTGAAAGTTGATGTGAATTATTCTTTGCACCTTAGCAATAATAAAATATGTTTATAGGCAATGCACTTTAGATAGAAGAAAAGCTGGTTGAATACACAGCCATGAGAAGAGCAATATTGGTTCCTAATGGAATAAGAACGCAAATTTGCACAATCTAAATGTATTTGACAGTATCTTCTTTACGTAAGAACAGTACACGAGTCCAATACAAATTAACCCAACCAAACCAATGCCTGAAAACAAAAATCCTTCACAAAATCAAGATGAATATAATCTTTTCGGGGAAAATGCAGAAGCACACTAGAACAAGGGAGATAATAAACATGTAAGCTATGATGGTCAAGCAAAAGAGAGTATATGAGTTTTTTCTCCACTAAGTTGAGACCCCAATGTTTTCTGTCATGGATATTGTTTATCAGCCCCGACTACGAAAAACTTAGTCAGCATCATATCATCATATTCCTAAATACCCATCAGACAAAAATGGAGTGTCACATAACAATATATAAATCAGCATGAGACGAGTAACATTCAGCAACAAGATTATCTTATATCTGGCAACGTTTTTAGAGTACATATTAAACTCAGTGGGTAATTATAATGATCAATATCTAGTCCTGAAGCAATCAGTAAATGATTAAAATTTGTGTTTAAAATACCTCTACATCTTCATGAAACCTCTAGACGACATGCCTTTAACAGGAGGAAAAGTCTGAAAGGATATCAGGGAACCCAGGACAACAAAGGAGATGGGTGACAGAACTCCTATCATCTCTACTAATAAACTTATTAGGACTGACAACAGTTTGTACAACACAAATAAATAAATTCCAATCCGCGTGATATGTTTGCTCACTGACCCGTATTACACAGACCATCAATCTGCCAAAAAGATGCTTGTTTACCATGCTCGCTAGTCAAACTTCCTGTTCTCATTTGGATAGAGGTATCCAACCAATACAAGTCAAAAACAGACCTTACTCTTCATGGTCTCTCAGGTGTCATTGCTATTGTTGCTACCACTATCTATTTCTTGGAAGAAGGATTTTCCAGCTTCATAAGTTGACCAACAAATTGCAGCAGCAGGAGCATGGAAGAGCATCCTTGGTAACCACCCCCTCACAAGCCCCCTGTATCCATCTTTCTTTACTATTGTCCGAAGAACATCCCTAATCGAACCAGTTATGTATCTGTCACATCCACATACACCCTGCATGATAATGAGTTATATAGAGGGTATCTAATACAGTGAAAACAATCGACGGTTTGGGCCATTGCCTCGGTGTAGTGATAAAAGTGTTAAGACTACCAATCATAAGATTGAGATTTTCAATTTAAGGGCAGCCATTTTGTAGAAATATTTCCCAAATTAGGCAATACTCAGTTCACCCTCCCAGGAACATCACTAAAGCCAAAACATAACCAAGTCAATTACATTAAGTATCCAAAGATCAAAGCAAATATATTATCCTCGAAGACCAGGGGTACACCCAACAAGTCCATCATTTAGTCTCTTGTGGAAGCTCTTGTCAACAATAATTTACTTCAATGAAGGCCACACAAAATTATCCACCAATTCAAAGAAACAAAGTTCATAACTAACTTACCAATACATCTCACACCATAACGAAGTCGGTCATCCATTATCAGCAATTGGATGGGCTTATAGATGGTTTGTATTGCCTCTACTAAGTCTCAATAATTCATTTAGATTTGATAGCTTTTCCTGAGCATTTAACTAGCAGAACCGATTGGAGCCACAAACAAATTTTAAAATTTGATTTAGAACAAAAAACAATCCACTTGAAACAACCAGGATTCTATTTCAAACAGTAATTAGAGCTTGAAAATAGACGCCATAACAATGTATCATTTAAGGGGGATCAACAACAATAGAAAGCCAGCTAAAGGAGCACGTAATGCATATTCCGAACTCAAACTGTCAAATTGCGCACTATATATGGTTAGCAAAAGGTGATGAAATTGTACCTGGCACTGTAACTGAGTCTTAACCACATCCAGTGGCGTAGTCACGGCAGCAGCCAACGCCCCAGCGGCAGCCCCAGCCGTAGCATGAACCACCAACCTTTCATCACTGGCACTCTCTGGCGACACCTCCATCAACCCTCTCTTGACCGCCTCGTACGTCGTGAAATGCGCCGCCGTAAACGGTGCATTCATAAGAACCGTGGTCTTATAAGACGCATAAAACCCCTTAATTCCCTCCTCCCTTAGAATCCTCCTCACACAATCCAACACCCCTCTGTACGGACTACTACTCAATTGCAACCTCTGCTTCGCCACGTCCATGGGCGTAAACACGGCATCGCTCGCCACCGTGGCAAACACCCCCGACAACGCGTGCGCCACTGGATTATTCGGATTCCCACCGGAAAATGTCTTCTTACAAACCTCATAAACGGAAAAGTATACAGCGTGGGCAGGTCCGGCACCGAGTGCCATGGCACCGATACCTCGATAAAGTCCGGCGGGGCCTTCGCTCTTTAAGATCGATTGGACTGCTTCACGAATGCCAACGGATTTAATAGGGCAAGAGCCTAGGGCTTGCATGCGGGTCTTGATGGTGTCGACTGGGAACATCGCCGTGTGTTCGACCATGCCGGCGATGGAACCGGCGATCATGAATTGCCAGAAGTGGAGACCATCGTGGGCCGGAGATACGGTGATTTCCGGGAGGTAATCGGGCGGTTGCGGGATCGGCAAGAGGTCTGATTTCTGGAATTTGGGAGATGCGTCTGTGGCCATGGAAAGAGAAGAAGGGAGAGGAGTTAGGGTTTTGATATGGCGGTGTTCGGGTACGGGTAGGGGTTGCCGCCATAAAAAGATTAGCAGATATATAGAAATCGAGACATGTAATGGCTAGAGAGAGAGAGATGAAGTTTACGACTGGTCAAAGGAGGCAAGGGTTAGAGAAGCTTCCGTGAGGAAATTTTTTCTTTAGGGTTCCAAAAATCATTGGGTTTAACAGTAATATCTTGCAGGCTGTTTTTTGTTAGGAGTAATGCTGCTGACCAAAAAGGAGGATACACATAGGAGAAAACTGTTTTTTTAGTCCAACAGTTAGGCTGCGTAAATCAACTTACACCCACCTCAATTAATCTATTTTTTGATCCGACACTTATTCATGCCGAAACTCTAATATTCATAAAAAATAAATTTTTTATAATCTATAATGGTGATACTAATTATTATTATTACGTAATATCATTGTCTAATACTAAATCTAACTTACACTAAATAAATTTGATACCATAAATTCTTATAAATTAGCATGAATAATAAATAATTTTACTTAGTATCATATATAAATAACCCAATTTTCATAGAATAATTTTGTTTAAACCAAATTTCAACAAGAAAATTTATAATTTTTATTTCCTAAATCTTAAATTGTTAGAGAATTTGTAATTTTGAATATTTGTGTGTCATACAATTTATGATTCATTTAACTATACAAATACATAGGAATATGAGCCCATTTGAACATAATTTTTGTCATATCTCCCATTATTTTAATGGTATATGGTGATTACATATTATTGAAAAAAATCAAAAATTATTTTGGAGGGAAGATCTAAATCACCCCAAGAATGATCAATTGTTACAAGAAAATAAAAACAATATCGTTTTCTCACGATTCACATTGCAGCTTAGGTTGTTGAAGGATTTAGCTTTAAAAGTGATCTAAGCTTGAATCGGTGGTGCTTGAAACGGTAGCAGTCCCATAAAGCTCTGCTCAGCCGTAGGAGGAAATCTATCAAAAACCTATGACTTAAGCATTTTAGGAGTAGTATTATATGTAATTTTAAGTTAAGAATTAGTGTTGCAGTTAAAATTGATTCATTAGCGCTTTAAAACCAAAGTTTCAATTAAGATTAATAAAAATGTTATCCCTTTTGTTGATTTTTGTGGTGAATTTTCTTGTTTCAAACTCTGTCGATAAATTTCATCCAAAGAAATCTTGAAATAACAATCGTCTCAAACAACACCCGTCAGTCATTAGAAAAAATCCTTTTCCCCACGAACAACACCACAAAAAAAAAAAGAATAAATTGCAATGAACAAAGCATGTACCTGGTAATGCATAATTTGATAAACACAGAGATTCATTTTTTAATTGTTAGCAGTTAGATAAATCCCAGACCAGTTCAGTTCATCTAAATAGGATACATTTTGATAGCATTTGAATACTACATCAGTACCATATTCTAAAGATCTTACAAACTCAAGCAGAATAGAGTTTCTTTGAGAACTTGAAGCCATACAGGCTTGAGATGGTCAAATAAGGAACAGATACGCGAAACTGGTTACTGTATGTGGGCACTATAACATGTCCTTCATGAAAGCATCAATGTTGGTCTCAGCAGATCCTCCTTTTCCAACAGCTCGTCGACAAATCTCTTGAATCTCTTTTGCTCTTCCCCTCATTTCTTTTCCCTCCTCACTTTCTAAGTCCATAAACCTCTGCACAAGTCCAGCAATTTCTTCCCTTCTAATCAATGTGTCAACACCTCCCCCCTCACGCTTCACACTCCAACCCATCTTCCAGTTTTCCACAATCATCTTGCTGTTTGAGATTTGATCGAAAACTATGGGGTAAGCAAGCATCGGAAGGCCAGCAAACGCGCCTTCTTTCGTGGAATTCCACCCACAATGTGACCAAAATCCACCTATAGAAGAATGGCATAACACCTTCAATTGGTCACACCATGGCACCACAAACCCACCACCTCCCTTTTCAAACAGAGAAGTTTCTCCTCGTGCTACCCATAAGTACCGAACACCACTGTCTTGAACCCCAGCAACTATCTCATCCAATTGAGAACTCGAGAGAGAAATAAAGCTTCCTTGTGCGATATACAAGACTGAACATCTAGGTTGGGCATTTAACCATTTCATATAGTCTGGGACATTGTGACCAGTGATGGGAATGGAATTGTCTATATAAGTGAAGCAAGGTATAGCAGGACCAATGGAGTAGATGGCGATAGGGAGTTCTGCTTTT